CGGGCAGCCGCAGTGCTTCCCAATTACTATTTGCCGGCGTATAAGACGACCCGGCATATAAGACGACCCCCCCAATTGGAGGCATCTTTTTCAGGGCAAAAAAGTCGTCTTATACGCCGGCAAATACGGTAGTTTTAGAAAGTTTTTCTCTATCAGCATGGGTCAATAGCTATCATTAGCCTCTAGAAATGATGTTAGTGAGTTTGTGGGTTGGTCAAGTTGATCTCATAAAATCATTTCAAATTTTGTAAAAAATATTTTACTCTATGATTCCCTGTACATAGAGCTATTAACATGAGTATCATAAGTAATATCATTTAAGGCCTAGTGAGTTGATAGATTATGTTCCCAATATACATTGGGGACCAAATAGCCTGGAAACACTTACCTGATAGGCTGAGATGAATCATTTTAGTGTCTTCTTTCTCCAGCCCTTGATTTGACAAAATTTTTATATGTAACAGGAGACTAGCTTGTGGTGGATAAAGAAATATTGAGCCTTCCATAATCACTAAAAAGGAATATTTCCTCCTGTGTGCTATGGAAACAGAATTCTGGATAAGCACTGGAAGTTCTGAAAACTTCCCAACCATTTGAATATGAGTTCATGTATTGCCTTAAAGGGATAAAGGGAGCTGGCAGGGGAGCTTCTAAATGTCACACAGCCATCAAGAGACAAAAGAACATCACAGTTTAGAAAACACAATAAGCAGCATTTCTAGAAATCAAGTTCTGTGGAAACAATTTTACTCTGGGTTTTTCTTATGATAATGCCCAATTTACTAGCAATGATAGATTCTGGAGAAGAACAACGCCCTGTTTTAATGCAAACATCAAGAGTGCATTTTGTTTACATCCAGACTGTTCTATAACCTTCCTCTGCTGGTTGCAGTAGCTTAACCCACCTTAACTTCCACTGACATGTAGCATTTGGTTTATCAGAATCTTGTATGGGTTCTCAAAAGGCAGGATCTCAGGGTGATGAATATTGGTTAATCCACTATAAATCTGAAGGACACCTTGAACAATTCTTTTCCATGAAACAGCAAATTCATTTACTATAATTTTCGTGGAAATGGCACAAAGCAGTACAAATTGCATTAAAAGAAATGAACTATGGGTTCCTTCCCAGCAACTCCACGAAAAGGGAAGATTACCCCACTTCAGATGATGAGTTTAGTGGAAAGAAATGAAGATTTCTCAGTACCTGAGACAAGAGTTATGAAGACTGGCCGAGAAGATAATTGTGCACCTCTATTTTCTGCAACCAAGGCTCTTAATAGAAATAATTCTGTTGAGAAGGTAACTGCTTTAGATTTGTACAACAAATTTAATTCTGAAAACTACATGGATATTTTCTAACTTCCAAAGTTTGGTTAAAAGCTACACATTCCCCCAAATAGTAAGTTTTTTTAAAAAATTAAGAGTTAATGAAGTATACAAGGCAGTTGAAAAATTCTGTATTTGAAGTACAATGTTTTTGATAATAACAATCCAATTTAGTAAAGTGGATCTCAGGAAAAAAATAATCATTAAAAAAGAGAAGAAGTGAAAGAAACAAAAGTGAAGTAGAATAATTGCAAGAAGAGAAAGAACAAGTTTTATATGGGAAAAAATTAGAGGACAGCTTAATCTTCCAACATATTGCTTGGAAAGTATACATAAGAGGATATCAAAGTTGCTTGGAAAAATAGTTTTATAACAGATTGCCATAGATATGTGGGAATATTATTAGAAAAAAATAAATTCACTTTTAATCAGGGATATTTTTTGTATCCTGTTTATAAACAAATATGCATCTTAATAATGTTTATGATTTATTATGTATACATATAGCAAGCTCCAGCTGAGAAAATGAAAAATATAATCTACAGTGAAGAAGATCTAGATATTAACGGAAAGCAAAGTTTAGGTAAATTGTTCAACATATTTCAATAGACATCCTTTAAAATAGTTTTCATGTTCTAGAAAATCTTAGGATTGCATTTCATGTCTAATTTAATATATATGTTTCACATAGATGAGTTAAGTGATATTGTTCCTGATTCCCAACCACCAATATACAAAAGTGACAAATCATTGTAAGTACTACAAGTAATTATAGATAAGAAATATATCTGCTAATATGCCTAATTTGAACAACACATTCTGCTCTAATTTCATGTTGGTAGAGATTTTCCGTATATATACTTCAGGAATACAATTGATTTCCCAACAAGTATTTACATGGACATTAGAAAGGAGTGGTTTTCAGCTTTGTAGTTGTTCTTGTATAGCACTAGAAAATAGTATATACCAACTTTTTATCATTACTTCTTTATTTCTTGTTTTAGAGACAGTACATTAATACACTGCTCAAAAAAATAAAGGGAACACTTAAACAACACAATGTAACTCCAAGTCAATTACACTTCTGTGAAATCAAACTGTCCATTTAGGTAGAAACACTGATTGACAATCAATTTCACATGATGTTGTGCAAATGGAATAGACAAGAGGTGGAAAGCATAGGCAGTTAGCAAGACATCCCCAATAAAGGAGTGGTTCTGCAGGTGGTGACCACAGACCACTTCTTAGTTCCTATGCTTTCTGGCTGATGGTTTGGTCACTTTTGAATGCTGGCGGTGCTTTCACTCTAGTGGTAGCATGAGACGGAGTCTACAACCCACACAAGTGGCTCAGGTAGTGCAGCTCATCCAGGATGGCACATCAATGCGAGCTGTGGCAAGAAGGTTTGCTGTGTCTGTCAGTGTAGTGTCCAGAGCAGGAGACAGGCCAGTACATCAGGAGACGTGGAGGAGGCCATAGGAGGGCAACAACCCAGCATCAGGACCGCTACCTCCGCCTTTGTGCAAGGAGGGACAGAAGAAGCACTGCTAGAGCTCTGCAAAATGATCTCCAGCAGGCCACAAATGTGCATGTGGTTGCTCAAACGGTCAGAAACAGACTCCATGAGCGTGGTATGAGGGCCCAACGTCCATAGGTGGGGGTTGTGCTTACAGCCCAACACCGTGCAGGACATTTGGCATTTGCCAGAGAAAACCAAGATTGGCAAATTCGCCACTGGCGCCCTGTGCTCTTCACAGATGAAAGCAGGTTCACACTGAGCACATGTGACAGACATGACAGGGTCTGGAGATGCCGTGGAGAACGTTCTGCTGCCTGCAACATCCTCCAGCATGACCGGTTTGGCAGTGGGTCAGTAATGGTGTGGGGTGGCATTTCTTTAGGGGGCTGCACAGCCCTCCATGTACTCGCCAGAGGTAGCCTGACTGCCATTAGGTACCAAGTTGAGATCCTCAGACCCCTTGTGAGACCATATGCTGGTGCGGTTGGCCCTGGGTTCCTCCTAATGCAAGACAATGCTAGACCTCATGTGGCTGGAGTGTGTCAGCAGTTCCTGCAAGATGAAGGCATTCATGCTATGGACTGGCCCGCCCATTCCCCAATTGAGCACATCTGGGACATCATGTCTCGCTCCATCCATCAACGCCACGTTGCACCACAGACTATCCAGGAGTTGCAGGATGCTTTAGTCCTGGTGTGGGAGGAGATCCCTCAGGAGACCATCCGCCACCTCATCAGGAGCATGCCCAGGTGTTGTAGGGAGGTCATACAGGCACGTGGAGGCCACACACACTACTGAGCCTCATTTTGACTTGTTTTAAGGACATAATATCAAAGTTGGATCAGCCTGTAGTGTTTTTTTCCACTTTAATTTTGAGTGTAACTCCAAATCCAGACCTCCATGGGTTGCTAAATTTGATTTCCATTGATAATTTTTGTGTGATTTTGTTGTCAGCACATTCAATTATGTAATGAACAAAGTACTGTATTTAATAAGAATATTTCATTCATTCAGATCTAGGATGTCTTATTTTTGTGTTCCCTTTATTTTTTTTGATCAGTGTATATAATTATGACAAAATTCTTGAACTGTGAACTCCAGGATTCGAACCTGGAAACTTTCACAGCCAACTTATTATAGCAGTTTTTGCCTATTCAATACACTCTTACCGGGAAGGGTTTGTTGTCATCAGGGACCATGAAGGCCTGCCTTTTCTGTTGCTACCCCTTTCCTTTGCCAAAATGTTCCACTGAGTCAGATTAGTATCAACTTTACTAACATTCAGGAAAGTTTTTAGTGCTTGATTGTATGATGGGTCTCCTCCATAAGTAAGCAATTCTTGTTGCTATGACTGTTTTTCCACACCATGCACTGATGCAAAGAAAAGTTTGTTTGGTATGGTTATCTTTATATTTACATCCCTGGATACCATGATATTGTAGATAGCATCTTCAACCAATCATTGCTCAGCTCAAGCTGGATAATAGTTGAACAACAAAATGCAAGCCAATCAATACCAACTGTTTCCACTTCAAGCCGTCAGAGTGTCATGTTCACTACTTGTCTGACTTAAAGGGCACTGAGATTACTAGCGTCTTTATTCACTTCCTCCAAAGCAAAGAAACAAAAACATTCTAGCTTTTCTCCAAAAACATGCACAGAGTTCAGGTGTCTGTACAGGTGCATCTATTCATTTGTCTGTTGATTTACAAAAATCATTACTCTTGATAGCATACTATTAGGATGATTTTAGGAAGGTTGAGTTTTAGAATATTTACAAAATGCGGAAAGGCAACATTGTATACAGATCATTGTTGAACTGATTAGTCAGTAATTTGAAAGCAGAAAGATTGATAAACAGTAGCTTGGCATTCAGAATGTTATAATTTTGATTGGAAAAAAACCCAGAAAAGTGAATGTCAAGAAATGTGAATTAGCATTGCCATAAACATTGGGAAAACTGTAATTAACTCCCCAGCCTTTGTATGGGAAAATACATTTGGATACATATAAGCATCCAAATGGTGCAAATAGTTGCACAAGTTGGCTAATGTTTTAAACAGAATGCATTTTATATTTGAAATAATCATGTGTCAAATTATAAACATATTCAAAAGTTGCTAAAATATGTGTGCTTTTTTTTTTTAGATTGCCTGGCCTTTCAAACAATTTTGTTGATGAAATTAAAACTCAGAAAAAAACAAAGTGCTGGATACCTGAAACAATAATAACTCAATATCAACATATTACTGCATCAGAAAGTATAGTATATCAAGGTTAAGTCTTTATATAAAAAAATCATAGCAAAGTTATATTAGTTTTTTTCACAATTATCCAAATATAGAATTTAGAAACAAAATAGTTGCTTTTAAACTGTTTGTGTCTTTGTGTGTGTCTTTGTATATGTGTGTTTGTGTATCTGTTGGTTATTTTCTAATAGCAGAAAAGAAGCAGATATGTGAAAAACAGCAGATAACTGTTGAAAGGGGTAGCCATTTTTTACTCATTATTAAGCTAGGACTCTAATATGATTATCCAATCCATTATTTTCATGATTGTCCATCTTTCTCCCAGTCCGTTTTTCCTGCTTCGCTGCTGAGACGCAGCCTCATCATGTAGAGGACAAACATTTTAGGCCTTAATATAAAAAAGTTAAAAGTCAACATTTAAGCAAAGAAGATCATCCCCTCTCCTCCACAGTCAGTCTGGGAATGTTTAATCTCAATATCCAAGCTTTCAGCAACCACCGGCATGACTTAATAAGAGAAGACTTTATCCCACCTGCTCAATGGAAGAATTAATTCTTTCTGCCAGTTGAGAAAAGGTTTCTTTCCTTTCTCCCTGTTACCCATAATGGCCCATTTATTGTTGTTCCTTGCCTCCTCTCCATTTCTTTATCTAGTTCTGTTTTCCACTTTAGCTTTCCTGTCCTTCCCCTCATCCTACCAGCATCCTGTTTTCCTCTTTACTATTTTTATTTGATATGCACTTAATATCTAAGTATGGGACAAGACTTATTTTTGCTCTTTAACATATCTGTGAGGTAGGTTGGATTGAAAGAAAGTGAATGGTTTGCATGCAACCATAGCTTAGGATAGATCTCAGGATCTCCCCCCCCCCTCCCTCTGAAAACAGGAAGTATGGCCTGTGCATGAGAGACACAGTGATGTGCAGATAGAGGATCAATTAATTTCTAAGATTGGATGGCATCTTTACAGGCAATTAATTTTAAGCAATAGTTATTAATTCAATTAATATTTATTAATTTATCCTAGAATTGCCCTTTTAAGGATGTGGCTTCAAACCAATATCTATATATACGCACAGGCATACAAATGTGAAATACATGCAAACATTGGGATCGGGTGAAATCCCTAGAATTGGTTTTACCGGGAGTTGGCAGCCCTAAGTTGACAAGCTGTGTGATTTTTGTGCCTGTAAAAACATGAAATTCTGAGTTGACTTCCTTTTGAATAAGTATGATAATTTATAACACTTTATTTAATTTTAAACTTTTGTTTTTGTTTTCTATTAGCTGCTAATCGAAGTGACAGAGCTGCTAAGCAAAGAGCTTTTGCTTCAATATTTGAAATGTCTTGTTCTGAGTTAAGAAATAAACAGCATTGCAGAGGCAAAATCATAGAGGAACAACACAGCAAAACCAATAATATACCAGATTCACAAACCTGTTTTAAGCATTTGGATGAGAAAATACCAAAAAGTAAAAGTAGAAAGAGTGTTTCCAACACATCTAAAATATCACTTCCTGCTACCAAAAAGAATAATGGTTCTCTAACAACTTCAAGGCACTCCAAATCAATCTCTGAAATGAATGATCATGATATTAGATTGAATATATCACCTTCTGCAAAAGAGACTGCTAATAAGAAAACTGATCAAGTAAATTATGAGAAGGTAAATAACCTCAGCATTACTCTTCTAGTTGTATAGTAAATCAAAATAGTGGTTGGTTTTGGTTTAACTATTTCTCAATAGTTTAGCAAACAACCAAGAACAGATTGCATTAAGGACATCACAGCATTGTTTTTCTTTTCAGAAAACAAAATCAAAAGATGTGATTGAAGCAGCAGAAATGTTAATAAGTAAAATCAGCAAAAGATATAAAGAAAAGGATGGTATAAAAAATACATCAAAAGTGTGCCAGTCATTTTCTGATCGGAGGTATTGTACATATATTTTCTTTTTATGTAACTGAAATATAGATAGATATTATATGTTAGAAGTAAATAGTTTTGCAATAGATATTTTTTAATCTTCTTTAGTTTTCTTAATGTAGTTTCCTACATTTTCTTAAGTTTATCTTTTATCTCTTTAAAATGTACTAATATTATGAAACAGAACAAAATTTTTAATGATCCCATATTTTCCTAGTCTTTCATTTTTTCTGTGCTATTAGTTACATTATATTTATTTTATTTATTAAATTTACATGCCACCCATCTTATAGATTAGATGATTCTTTTACATAAGACTAATACAGTATATACTGTGTAAAAAGAGACACGGTGGCTCAATGGCTAAGACACTGAGCTTGTTGATCAGAAAGGTTGGCAGTTTGGCGGTTCGAATCCCTAGCATCGCCTAACAGAGTGAGCTCCCTTTACTTGTTCCACCTTCTGCCAACCTAGCAGTTCAAAAGCATGTAAAAATGCAAGTAGAAAAATTGGGACCACTTTGGTAGGAAGGTTAACAGCATTCTGTGTGCCTTCAGCGTTTAGTCATGCCAGCCACATGACTATGGAGACATCTTCGGACAGTGCTGGCTCTTCGGCTTTGTAATGGAAATGACCTTCACTTTTGATACAGTTATAAGGTTATATTTCAGTTTATGAGTAATGTTACATTTTTTAAACAAATGTTAATTATCATATTTTGAAGTTTAAAGGTTTGGAGCTTTTCAATTCTCTGTTGCCTGAAAATATTAATGAAATATACTGAAAGTAAACAAATGCAAACTGGAATTAATGTTATAAAAGTAAATGATTTCAACATCTTTAGTACCATTAACATCTATTAGAAAACATCTATTAGAAAATTGCTGATGGCAATACTGTACAGATAGTTCGTGCCTTAAAACCCTTTCTTTAATGATGATTCAAAATGATAGCAATGAAAATAGAAAATAGTGACTAGGAGGGCGGAGCTGCCATTGCGGTGGGAAGACAGGGATTCTGGAGCTCCCGAAAGAACCATTGATATCCCTGCTACTGGACAGTCCTTTTGGACCTAAACCATCCCAGAGAGACGGTGACAGAAGTGGGCACATCCTGTCGATCCCAGGTACATCACAAAGTCCCTGGTTGATCCAGGAAAGCTTCCTGAACCAGTGGCAGAGGAAAGTGGCCATTAAGGCTGCTGGGACAGCTCCGGAATGAAAGGGAAAGCAGAAGGAAAGTGTGTCGGAACTGGGTGAGTTTTTTTTAAAAAAATTCACTAAGGATTAAAGAGCACCCTAAGGGGAAAAAGAAAATTTAAGAAGATTGAAGACAGAAGAGAAAGTTAGCGGCGGGAAAGCATGTTTATAACTGTCAGATCCAATTAAGGCTATTTTACTGCGTGGAAAGATTATTTTTTTTCTTTTTTAACTGGACTGGACTAACAATTTGAAAAATACAAAGTATTAATTTTAATTCTGGATTATTTTCCCTTTTTAGTTTGCTATTTAATAACCTGTAACTCTAAAAGTGAAAGTTTTCTTTTTTAAAAAAAAAAATTGAATTAAATTTTTGAATTTTCGGATACAATATAACAAAGCAAAGTAAAGCAATAGTGCCACCTAGAGGTTACAGAAAAATTGGAAAGATTTAAGAATTGTTTTTCTGATAGCAAGCTATTTAGACCCAAAAGGAAGATAAAGAGCAAAGTGCTAAAAGATTGTTGAAACAGGTGCTATTCTGGCAATCTAAACAGCTGGAGATGGAAGAAGAAGAGAAAGACTACTGTGACCTTGGATTATGTTTTGACTTGGCTTTCTGGACACAATATGGTGGCTTGGAATTGCTTTGTGACTGCTATTTAAAATAATTGCTGGCTATTCTATTTTGTTTTATCTTTTACTGCTGGTATCTCTTCTGGGCCTTTTTACTATTTCAAGCTTGTTTGCAGCCGCTTTTTCCCTTTTTTCCCCTTTGGTTAGCCTCCTATTTGGAACATTTTAGTTCTCCCTATTTTTTATTACTGGACTATTACAAGTGGATTATTTTTGGAACTCTTTCTTTTTTAATTTTTAGCGTGTTTTTTACTTTTGTCTCCTTGTGGATTTAATATTTTTAATTCCTCTATTTTATCCTTATTTTACTTTTTATTTTTTGTTTTTGGGTATGGAAAGCTTGTTTCTTTTATAATTGGATTAAGGTAGAGAAGAACCTGAAGAAAGCAGAACTTGGATTAATTGGCAGATATTCTTTGTTTGGGATTACAACTAATTTGAGATGAGGAAGACAGCTGCAACAGTATCTTCGATCCCTAGTTCTTCCTCACTAAGCCCAGCTGGTCAGTGATCAATACATATGGGTCAAATGATCAATACATGGGTCAAATGATCGTAATTTGTGATCTTCCCACAGGGCTTTCAACAAGCAAAGTCAGTAGGAGAAAATGGATTTGCTTGATGATGGGCCATAAAATGGTTATAAAATTGGGCATGACTCACTTAACAACTACTTAGCAGAGGAAGTTCCAGTTCAAATCAGGGTTGTAAGTTGAGGGCTCTCTATATTAGTTTACAGATTTATTTTCCTCAGTGGCACCTGGTTAAAAAAAACCCTGGAACCTAGTAAAAGCACCTGAACTGGCATCTAAACTAGAAGCTGAGGGCTCTTTGCTCTGGTACTAAAGTAGTAGAGCCATTTGAGAGCCAAAGTTGACCAATCCAAAGTACCACCAAGCATAGACTACAGTTCAGCATTTCATAGTTTATGAAAGTTCATCAATGCCATAATATGTGCCTACAACTTTTTCTTCCTTTTTTATTCAGTAGATTAACTTGGCTGTTCTCAAAATCTTCTGAAGGAATGTATTTCATTGTTTAATTGTATTACTTAAGATCCGTATTTAAATACAACTTTTATTTACAAATGAAGATTTCTAGCTTGGTATTGATCTGTATTCCATCCACTTTTCTTACAGCACATCGTTAAATAAAATTGATAGCGATGATAAGGTATTTTCTTTCTTTACAAATTTGTCTGAAAATGGTTTTAGGAATTTATTTTTAGACACGGTAGATTAAATATGTTTGAACTCTGAACCAAGAGTTCAAAGTTTCAAGAGTGACATTTATAGTGGCATTTTTTTCAGGTTTTGTAATTGAACTGATTATCATGTCTAGGCCAGTGTTTCTGAACCTTGGCATCTTTACGATATATGGATTCAACTTCCAGAATTCTGGTTGGTGAATGTTGTCTGGAGAATTCTGGGAGTTGAAGTCCACACATTTTAAAGTTCTCAAGGTTAGAAAACATTGGTCTAGGCTGCTCTTTAATGTTTTATCACTGGGCTGCTCAGAAATTCAGAAATTGCTTAACTTGACTTTGCTGGCATGTCTCTCCCCCCCCCCCACCCGTTTTACACACACACATACACACACACCAATTCATAGTAAAGAGTGGTGAATTATATTACATTAAATTATTTACATTTATTATTAAATAAAAAAACCCCGCATAATTGTAAATATTTTTTTTCAAAATGTCAATAGGAGGTAGTTCCAGGTTGCACAAGGTCTGCAAACTTCAGAGAATGCTGTTGTGTGGCCTTGTGACCTCTGAAAAGAGCAGGAAATTATGCCCTGGTCTCACATGCTTTTGCATGTCTCCAGAAGCCTTTCAGAGGCCTCCTAGCAGAGCCCCCTCACGCGACTTCCAGGTCTGGAGATTTGGTGTATCACCAAAAATGGCATGCCATGTCACCAGTGATATGTCATTGGTTCACCATCACCAACAGACTGAATGGGATAAGGTGGAGCTGGGAGGAAAGCAGGACCTGAACCTTTGACTAGACATAAGAAGACTTCTCCCAGCTCAGTAACTGCCAAAACAAAACTTTGCCATGGGAGACTCTGAGTTCATTGATTTTTTTTTTTAAAGTCAGGAATCACCTTTATGTGGAAGGAAAAACATCAGCAAAAAACCCCACCACTAATTGCTTTGCACTTACCATAATCTGTTACTTGATGTTGCTAAATAAGTAAGCTGTTAGCTCTTACAGAAAAGCTGCTAGAAGAATGTTTTTGTTTTAAAACTAAGCATTAGGAAAACCTCTGAGAGGAGATGTACTGATTGGGAACATGAATGGATTTAACTGCTCCCTTTGCCCTTTATTGTTTGGCTGAGTGATCCAGAAATTTTATTTAAACAAATTGAAAAAAAAAAACCCTCAGAAAAAGGGGTAGCATTGGTTATACATCTCCTTGTATAATTACGTTTTTATGCCTAGAAAAAAAGACAGAATAGAAAGACTGGAAATTTCAGAACTACACTACACAACAATACTAATGAACAATCTGTGTAAGTAAATAGTAATCTATTACAAATCTAGCCATTTGAGAGATGAAAAGATAAAATATTAAACAAAGTTTTATCTCTTTTGATAGTGATGATGTCTATGACTTTAATCGAAGTGGATTTGATGAACCTACAATAAAGCTTGGAGTAAGAAAATTATAGCATATTAATATGTCAATAATTATATTCAACAACATTACTTATTATTTGGAATTTACACTTATTAATTCACTCCAAAATATAGTTTGATTCTATAGCAGTTTCAACCTCTTGGCTTATGTTAAAATTGTACTCTGCTGTAGCTACCCAACTATATTACTGGTATTTTTTTAAAAAAAGAATAAACAAAGTTATTAGAATTAGTCATCTCCATGCCAAATGCAGTTTTCCTTATTAATAGTAAGGATATTTCTGGTTAGTTTTGGTGCATTTTGGTCAGTGTTATCACAAGTCCAGTTTTACGTGAGCATGTTCAGGCTGTTGTATGTAAGCTAAGAACACAAGCCTAGAGATTTGCAAAGCAACATTCAATGGACTCAACTTTACTGGAGAGGATAAGTGCTTCTCAACCTTGATAACTTTAAGATGTGTGGACTTTGTTAGGTATAACATTGATACCAAATATGGTTTGGGTGAATAAATAT